CCCCTCTTCTCCATCGCCAGCAGACATGTTGAGCAATCGCTCGGATTACGGCCCTGCTCTGAACCGAAAATGTAGATGGGCAATTTGCTCAAGCTTAAGCCTGACAGACTTCGGAGCGCCCTCCCCCCCTAGATTGGAGTTTAGGCAAATTGTCCTACCAATTCACACATTTTACCCTTAAGCCACTGAACTTGCTCTGAGGAGTGTGAATTTATGATGGAAAGATTTACTTGTTATGCTACGGCTATTTGAGCCAAAGCACGGGCAGTCAACCTATGCTATTGTGCTTTACCATATGCATTTCTGCGTGGAAACGACTAGCCCTATTCATACCTCTTTCGCATCTAGTCGGTGAGTTTAGTCGTGTAAATGTGTTGAATTGGCGGATCTGCCAAATGGAAATACAAGTGTAAATCTAAACTTCTTTCTCCAATGTTTATTTGCATACAGTCGTGAGTGTATGCAATTTATTTCCATACCCATGTGCGAGGTTCTCTAAGGAAGCGTGGGTGCGTTTGAGAGGTAATGCTTGTGTATGGCTCTGCGTGTTCATGTTGTGTTTATTAGTGCGTGCGCATACATTTTGTGCGTATGCAAGTGTATGTATGTGTGTGTGTGTGTTCGTGTGTGCGCTCACGTGTGAGCATGCATAATGGTGTTTTCTTGAGGTCTAGTGGGTTGTTAGGCTACGTGACATGGTCAAACGGGCCTCAGACTTGTAGCACTTCTGTCACATTGGCTTTTCCAAAAGTGGCATAAAAATCTGGAATCGATGCTATATCATTGCTTTGCCTGTGTAGGTGCATGCTCATCAGTTGCATCGTATAAATGCAACTGCCTACTCACGAGTGTGATAGTCTCATTATCGAGCAAGAGAGGGCATCAGACATTGAGGCAAAAATAGCCAACTAATGATCATGTGAACGCCTGTGAAAATCAGGACGTGCGCGCATGTCTGAAGACTACTTCAGCTCTGTTCTACAGAGCACAGGGTTTGGTGCTGTCTGGGGCTGGAACACCAGAAGTTGAAAGTTGAAAGAAGACCTCTCATCTCGTAGCTCTACCCCCAAACACACTCTCGTGCACGGCCCGAGGCATGCACACATCACAGCCAAGCCGAAATGGAGCACCCTGCTATCTTAATTGTATGCGTACTGAACGGGCAAGGCTGGGTTGGAGTGCAGACCTGGTGATACAGCTGTTTCCGTTGCCAGCTCAGAGCAGCAGTGTGAGTGTGCGTCCGGTGTGTCCGGTCTTTTGGTAAGGCCTACACTCGGCCTCTTACCCTCATGTGTCCGAGACAAACTTGGGAAAGCCTGAACATCCGGAGACTGTGGGTTACCTGAGCGAAAGATGTTGATTTGTGCATATCAGGCAAAAGTGATGCCTGCGCTTGGCGTTTTTAAAGACGCTGTACCTCTTTTTGTCATATTAACGAGCCAAGATTACCGTCCATTCTTTTGACTGTATAGTACTCACTTCAGTCTAAAGACTGCCCCTTGCATAGAACCCTCCTTGAGGCGGTGGCCAGCATCAAGTCTATAGAGATACGCCTGTTAAAAGGATCCGTATCGAGACTGAAATTTTCGCATAATGGTTCGCTAGCCTGGTGTAATGGCCTTCATTTCGTGTGAAAATTCCCAAATTGACACAATCCCTGAATCATGCTCCACCGATTTGGCTGGAGAAGGAATGAGCTTTCGTCTTAGATAAGGCAGACAAAATCTGAACAGGATAGTATACCTACTAAAGCTTCAGGCTAGCATTAGGTCGAGAAGACTAGTCGGATTAAAGTAACAATATGAAAAACAAGATGGTGTGGTCTATGGTATAATTGTAGTCTCCTTTAGATGAATACAAGTTGGTGTTGAACTCGTTTTCGCAACTTGGTCGTGTTGTCAGGGCGACTGTTTTAGACGCAACTTGTCCGAAGTCCTCTGCTAGTAGTCTCTATAATGCCCAGCGTCGGACCGTGGAAATGGTACAAACCGAGACGCTTCGCCGACATGGTCTCAGCACCATGCTACAACACGTCAAAAAAGACAAGTGAAGTCTTTCCCTTGATCAAACTGTCTGCCAAACGGGTTTCTATGATGGGCACTCTTATATCACTCCAGCACCATTACGGCTTCTAATCTGTTTACATTCCACTTCTCAATTACACTCAACTGCCGAATTTCCATGACCGTT